AGCGAGTAATTCGAGATTCTGCAACTTGATCTACTGTGAAATTTCACGAGCAGAGAAATCCAGGAGAGAATTTAATAAGAGACTACAGAATGCTGTTTAAGCTACAACAAAGTGTTAAGATTTTATCTTTCCAACATCTGGCAAATAATAGTGTAAATTAATTATTTGCCGCAACAGCATGAAATTATAGCTTTCTGTAGCATACAATCCCAAATTATGCTACAAGGCCAGACCACTTCATTGGGTGATTGATATCCTGTTGGAAAAAATCCAAACAATATTTCTCTTCTTTGCTCAGCAAAACCATTATGTTGATTGAATCGGAGCCAATGTGTACGCTCACAAGCTATTTTGCCTTTACCTTACTGGTAATTTAGCTGGGACAGAACTGCATTTACAATGCTATACATAAGCTACAGCAAGGGCCTCATCTTTAAAGCTGCTATTTTAGGGGTTGTAAGTCCACTTAAAGCTTGCTGAGTCGAAATGAAACATTGTTCTGATTCTGAAGACGGGATAAACCTTTCCACAGAAAACTCGGTGGAGAAAAAATAACACTATCTTTGGCTGAGAGAAAAAAAGAATAACGGCTTTAGATATTTGTTAGTATTTTCTAAAATCTCTAAACCAGAATTCCGGTAGTACTCAGTTCAATTATTCTGGCTGAGGCATCTGAAAGAAAACTACTAGCCTTCAAAATTTACTGCTATATTCCCACTTCTGAACAAAATATACATTTAAGACTTATTTAGCCCTTCACCCTGGGTGCAGATGTGCAATCCTGAAGGACAGCTCTATTTGGGTTCACACAGGAACCCCTGTTAAATTGCCATTTGTCACTGTTCAAGCCAATAGAAATCTCATCAACGGTGTGTTGCAGCAGAATCGAGCTGTAGATTCTTTCATACTCTGTTAATATAAATGCTATCAATGCCCATCTTCATACGATAGGCCATTTTATGTCACTACAAGCAAATAAATGCTAAGACAAATAAAAAGTCATAAATATACACTCAGTTAATTATGCCAACACACCTTACTGGTGGCCACATGCTATTACAGAAAAGCTATGGAGAAAATACTAGCTTGATAGTATATCCCTCTTCAAATAAATCAGAGTCCCAAGAAACCTCTGTAAGCTAATCCAAAATTAATGCTGTCCCTTCATCTAAACACTAATGAGCTTCTGGTAGCCTACACAATTGTCAAACTTCTGACTCTCATAAGCTATCTCCACATGGCAAGGTCAGCTGGAGAGATTAACAACTAATCCATTAATCTACTCGTTTCATACCAATCCGTCACAGAGGTCCTTATAGAAAAAGGCGGGCACAGAGTTCTACATCCTGAAGATAATGTGCAGACTTCTCCCTTGAAGCCCATGTTCTCCTACTTAATAGAAACACAGTTTGACATTCCGCATATTTTATGGAGTACAGACTTCTCCTAAGTGTGTACAGTAAAATTATTATCAAATACATAAACAGAAGAGAATAGTGTGTGAACCATTACAATTATTTTCTGCCTTTAAAAAAAACCCAAAAAACCAAACAACCTGCAGTGAACCAAAAGCTGTACATACTTAGAGTGTGGAAATAACCTATAAACAGCATTAAGAGAACATTCTATTAAGTCATGGCAGTGGCCTTGCTAGGAGTTTTCATTGTCTTTCATGAGAGCTGTATTAGGAGTCTTTGTTTATTTTACGTATTAGAATAAATAGGAAAATAAACGGTTAAACAAATCCAGTGTTAAAAATTAACAGTTTTTACTCTGTATGGCCTGTGACAAATATTAGACTGCAGAAAGTCAGGTACTCTTAACAGACATTAACCAATATAATGATAACCCATTTGTATATTACATATTCATAAATGTTCGGCACTTGATTTACACACTGTTAAAGAAGTAACAAGACACTCTGGAGCCTAGATAGCTTAGTGACAGCAGAAGTGAAATGCATCAGATCAGCTTGTGCACCCACCGTATGTGATAAACTGATGAACACACTCATATACTCATACTAACATTGGTCAATTTTCTCAGCTTAAGTGACCCACTTCCAAGTACTAAAATGGCTTCCACTTGCATTTACATCTGTAGTACACAGCAGTCCAAAATTTAGTTATTTTTAGCCACTACTATAATAAAATTATAGAATTGACTTAAAGATGTTTCATACATTGCTCTTTAAAGCATTTTTTTCTTTCTTTTTTTTTCTGATATAGAATAGGGGGTTTGTTCATGATGTTACATTGTAAAATGAAAAAATTAAACTCGATTGCATGTCCCTTGTACTGCTTTAACAATAGGTGAATGTGAAGTACCTTGTGAAAGTCTAAATACGTGAGACTTCACACTAATTCATATCATAAATTGCTGACAAACAGAAACAAAATAATCTATTAACATTAACTGTTGTAAGATGTTGCAGTCTTGTTAGCATTTGCCACCATCTAGAAAAAACAATCTGGGCATATTGTATGAACTGATTCACCCAAAGGGTACAAGTAATGTTTTAAGTATAAACTTGACATGAAATAGTATTTTTCACAATTTGTCTGAATAAATTTAAATTGATTATTAGATTAGAAGCAGAATCAATAATATCAGAATACTTACATGCCAGAATGTGCCTTAGTGGTTTTTTACCATTTAAATGTTATAATGCATAATATACTTTTTATTGTTGTGTAATTTTTAAAGGATAACAATATATTTTGTAAAGTGATACAACTAGGATAACAGGAAAAAAAGTCTTACTTCTTTCTGCTTTCTCCTTTTCACCATTAGTCACAGAATTGTTGAGATTGGAAGGGACCCCTGGAAATTGTCTAGTCCAACTCCCTTGTTCAAAACAGGGCCAACTAGAGCAGGTTGCTCAGGGCTGTGGCCAGTCAGGTTTCGAGTATCTCCAAGGATGGAGACTCCACATCTCTGGGCAACCTGATCCAGCACTTGATCACTCTCACTTCAAAGATTTCTGTTGCGTGTTTAAATGGAATTTCCTGTATTTTAATTTGTGCCCATTGCCTCTTTTCCTGTCGCTGGGCACTACTGAGAAGGGTCTGCTCTGTCTTTCTCTGTCCACCCATCAGGTATTTACAGGCATTGGTAAGCTCTCCCCAGTCTTTCTCTCCTCCATGCTGAACTGTCCCAGCTCTCTCAGCTTCTCTTCGTCTGTCAGACACTTCAATCCCTTAATCGTCTGTGTGGCCCTTCACTGAGCTTGCTCCAGTATGTCCAATGTCACTCTTCTACTGGGGTACCCAGGACTGGACATAGCACTCCAGATGTGGTCTCAACCAGTGCTGAGTTTAGCGGAAGGATCACTTCCCCTCAGTGTGCTGGCCAAAACTCTTTCTCATGCAGCCCAGGAGGCTGCTGGACACCTTTGCCACATCCATCACCTTTCTAGGTGAATGATGTGAGATTCTCTTCCACCATGATTGTCTTCATTCCTCCAGATTTTCCCACTGGACTCTGGGACCTGTGACTGCTGAGGTCAATCAGCAGATTGACAGAAAAAAAAAAAGTGAAGAAAGCATCAAGTACCTTGGCCTTTTCTGTCTCCATTGTCACCAAGCCCCCACTCCATGTGGCAGTGGACCCACTGGTCCTCATTTCCCTTATGCTGATGATACACTACAGAAGTCCTTGTTGCCCTTCACATCCCTTGCTAGTTTCAACTCCAGAAAGGCTTTGGCTTTCCTCATCCCATCCCTGCAACACTTGGACAGTATTTCTATATTTCACCAGGGTCACTTGTTCCTTCTGCCCCATCTTGTACACTTTCTTTTTGTATTTAATTTTAGTCAGGGGTTCCTTGTTCATCTATGCAGGCTTTCTGCCACTTCTGCTTGACTTTCTGCTCATTGGGGTGGAGCATCCTTGAGCTTGGAAGAAGCAATCCTTGAAAACCATCAGCTCTCCTGGAACCCTCTTCTCTCCATGACCATATTGCCATTGGATTTTTCCAAGCAAGTTCCTCAACAGGATGAAATCTGCTGTCCTGAAGTTCAGGGTTGTGATCCTGCTATTTGTTCCCTCCTCTCGGGGTCCTGAACTCCACCCATCCCATTGTCCCCAACCTTCATATCCTTGACCAGTTCTCCCTTGTTTGTACATATCAGTTCCAGCAAAGTGCCTCTCCCCTTTTCAGCTTCTCTACCAGCTGTGTCATGAAGTTCAGGAAGTTGCCAACGCTCTCCAGAAACTCCCTTGACTGCTTGCACCGCGCTGTGCTGTGCTTTCAGCAGATTTCATGGTGGTTCAAGTTTCCCTATGGGACCAGAACCTGCAAGCATAAGGCCTCTTCCAACTGCCTGAAGAATGTCACACACTTCTTCCTGATTAGGTAGTCTGTAGTAGATGTCCACCACAACATTGTCCACCTTGATCTCCCTTTTTAATCTTAACTCATTGGGTCTCAGCTGTCTAATCATTGGTCCTCATGCAAAACTTCATGCATTCCTCCTGCTCTCTCCCCTCCTCATTGTCCCAACCTGTGCTTCCTAAAGAGTCTGTAACCATCCACTGCAGCACTCCAGTGATATAAGCTATCCCACTACATCTCTGCAATCCCAATGACATCATAGCCCTGCAACTGCACACAGGCCTTGAATTCCTTCCACATTAAGCCAAGAATTGTTTTGAAGTCTGTTATAATTAGCATCTTTAAAATAACCCAGTAATATTGTTCCCCAAAAGAATAATCACATACACAAAAGAACTCCTTCAACAAAAGAGGAAGAAAGAAAGAAACAATCCTGTGCATTTTATTGGTATTGAGGTACAGTCCCATTACAATTGGCTAAATAAGACTTTTTTTCTTTTTCCTTTTTTTTTATAAAAACCCTCTAAAATGCAATGTATAAAAAAATATGAAAAAGCTGATTGCTCAGTTGGCTGTAAATACAAAACCTGCTCACAAAAAATAAAAAAAAAACCAACCAAAAAACAGGCAGCTCAAGATCGTAAGAATAGTTTTGGTTTCTCTACTATAACTGCTTTCTGCACAAGGATCCAATACATGGGTTGGTTTTGGGCTTATAAATTACCGAAGGCAAAGACGCGTGTGACTGACAAGATACGGGTCTCTTACTCTTCTTCATGGTAAGAACATTGTCTTCCTTTGGAGGAGGCACATGTATAGGTTTCCAAGGAATAGGGTTACAATACGCTGGAACTGGATATGAATTTCCATCAGCACACCCTAAAATGTTTAGAAAAGACACATAACTAAAAAGGAATATTTACACTACAAGCTTTACAATGCAAGCAGTTATGATAATCATCTGAACTAACAAAGACACAATGATGTCTTCAGAGGAAGATGGCATAGGCACATCACATAATTTAAATGATGTTTAATAGATCTTCCACCTTTTTTTTTTTTTACCAGTAACTGGCACATTCTTCATCTCTATTTAAAATAATAAGCAGGACAAATTCTGTGTAACATTCAGAATGCTCAGTCCTTTGTAAACTTAAAAGCTGTAAACGTCTACGGATTGGCTACTTTGCATTACTTCAAAGCATTTATAAGTAAAACTTCCTGTCATCACATACACAAAGCTCACATTTTTCCATCTTTTCTTAACTGTTACTCTTCATTTTATTGAGGAGAAAAATAGACTAGTTATCCACATATTAATAATCTGCAATTAATAACCTAGGTCCCGTAAAGCAGTATCAGAAAACCTAAAATGCAACCGAAGGAACATGTTGCCCTATCAGCCACTTGTCTGTAGTGAAATTTCAGTGCGTACATCACGTGGTTGGGTAAAACAAAGTCTGTAATATATTCTGAACACAACTAAGTAGAGAAATGTTTTCCAAAAATCACTTTAGTGATTGCAGCTGTGGGGAAGTAACGAAGGTCCAAAACAAAACACAAAGTGTATCGCCATCTATAAACAGATGTAAGCAAAAGAGCAAAGGTTGTTCACCTGCTTTATACATTTTCTTAAACATTAAAAGCCTGGAAGTCAGGTCATAAAATATTTTCTCTTGCAAATTCAAATAACAACAATTACAAATTCTATGAAAAAATAAAGGCAAAAGTATATATATTTTTAAAGAAAATTTAATTAAGCGCTCAAACGTAAAATGCAATACTATGTCTTACTGCTCTTTCACTTTTGTGTCATGTGGGATGACAAAATATACAAAAATAAAGTAAGACTCACAAAGCACCACACTATCAACAGCATTCTCTTTAACAACAAAAACAAAAAAGGGAATAGGATTACAGAAGATAAATAGGTGCAATGCAGGTGTAGAGCTAAATGAAAAGGAAATCTTAGGTCAGAACACAGGTTGACTCCCATGTGTCCTTTTACAGACAGGACTTCTGGCAGCCTTTTATTAATCTTTGCATCTTAAAAAAACACCTCTTTTCTAAAGGGGATTCAGGTGCAATGAAGTGGGACATACATTCTGTAACACAAATATTAACTTTACAAGGATGCTAACATAACTGCTTCACAGGAACCAGTAATTGGCTCTAGTGATTCCCAAGCCTGGTAAGGAAAATGAGATCAAAATCAGTTATAATTTGGTATGCCACATTATTCTCTCAAATAATATCATTTTCCTCCCAAATAACATGAACGGCTACAAAAAATGCACAAAGCGTCTCAGAGTAAAAGCTTCTCTGACTTATACCATACGAGATATTCATTCCCATGTGTCAAAATCAGATACTGGATGAAAACCTTAAAAGAGGCTTCATGTTACATTAAAAGTTTAGAGGGAAGGAACCACAAACTTAAGTTGCTACATATGTGTAGTAGAAGTACAAACCTGTAGACTTCCCACGTGGGAAGCCATAGCCATTTAAAAGAGGACGTGGTTTATTTCTAGCATTATGTAGCCATTCCTTAAATATCTTCTCTGATTTTGCTTTCTTCTCCTGTAGCTCAGCTTCCTTTTCTTTTTCTTTTTCCTAAAAATAAAATAAATAAAAAAATCTAAGATACTTATAGACAAAGCCCTGTATAATATACACAAAATGGTAAATAAATCTTTTGCCGATTCCCAGACTGCTGAATGTATTTCAAATATATTTTCAAATACAAATACATTACAACAGAAAAGCTGCATATTTTTTTAAGTCTGATTTTTTTTTTTTTTTTTTAAAATCAAGCTTCCCATTAATCCAATGTTTCTCTGAGAAAAAGCTCTCAGAAACCTTTTGGAAGACTACATGTAGAAGTTACTCTGAACATAATGGGCAGGTGAGCAGGGCCTGCTGTGCTGCAGTTAGCCTGAAGAAGCTATTGCATCTGGGACAGCCATCCACCCTTCTCATTTACCCGTATTCACACACCCCTATACCGGCCATGACCACGTTGCCTCCAAGCCTGGAGTAGGCTTGGAGAACTATTAATCAAAAGTAAGAGTAAAACCAGTATGTTTAGACATGGCATTTGGATTTAAACTAAGTTTAATTGATACTGTGAACATGGGTTGTAAGAACCTACATAATGAAGACATGACTAAAAGAATACAAGTCGTTTAAATCTGTCTGATGACTTGCATTTTTGTGGGTTTCAAGGTCCTTGTGCTGTGCATTTTAGAGGCTCAGCGGAGACACGGAATCAGTTTGTTAAGCAGGAAGTAAACACCACCAGTATAGAATATTTAAGTGTGTTTAATTATATGGGAAATTTTGAAAGACTGCAAAATTAAGGTCATTAAGGCTTGAAAATTGATCTGATACAGTTCACGGTATTTTAAAGTGAATCCAAAGACATTATTATACATACTTCTGAAATACTTACAAATGTGTTCAGGACTTTAAAAACAACTGCTGTATTTACGAGGGGAATATCGATAGATTCTTCTGACCATAATCCTTCCCCACACTTAGCTACAATGGTAGTCTAGTACTCCTGTAATATTACATATTCTACTGAAAAATTATACTGTAATGTTAATTAAATTAAAATATGACCAATCAACTTCACAGATAAGACTTCTGGTCACACATTTCATGGTTTTCAGGCATCATAATTACCAATATGTGATATTTCAGAGGAATTCTGGATGATTCCTGCAAGTGTAGCCTTGGTAGAGCATTTGTTCTAGTGAACTAGAGGACCTCAACCCCCGTACTTTGGGAAGCTTACAATAAGTAAGAGGGCTTCTGAAGCTCACTATAAAAATACATAGGTGATTAATTAAAATGAAATAACATTAAAATTACAACTCCTAGCATCAGATTAGTACAGACAGATATGATGAATTTTTTTTTTTAATTAGAAATATGTGCAAGTGTAATAATCATATAACAGTGGTGCTGGGAGAAAAACGTGCATGATGCTACCTGTTTTCTGTCTGGGTCCCCCTGCAACAGACTGAGTAATAAAGGTTCACTGTGTGGTTTCTATTTTTCTTGCCCCTATCATATCACAATTGCAGTGGGTTTGCAAAGACTAGTAACAAAAATGGATTAATATGCACCTTGCTTTGCCGGCCATACCTCAATGTCTTCAATGCACTGACACTACAACTTTTTAAAGTTTTTGTCACATACAACACTGCCATTTGATAAATTCTAATCAATATAATCAACCAATATATTTAATATAAGTTACAGATTAGGTATTCCCACCCAAATAAATGATTAGTTGACTAATACCTTCTCTTTCTTCTTCTTTTCTGCCTCTTCAGCTCTCTTCTTCTTTAACCATTCCTTATACTTTACTTCGGCCTTTTCTTGTATCTGCATTTTTTCTAGTTCCCTTGTGGCTTTTTCTGCCATTTCCTTGCTCAGCTTTCGTTCCCTTTCCCTTCTTTCCTACATGAAACCGATCAAAGAAACAGAATAGAAACTTTTCAGTATATTTCAATGGGCAATTCTTTCAAGGGATACAGTTAACTTTATTATATAATTACAACTAAAATTATCATAACCCTGGAAAAAATACCATATTGCAAGCTCTTTGAGGACAGAACCCATTCATTGCTAGGTTCCAGATAAAATATTTTTAAACACATAAACTTGTCAGAAAAACAATTAAAAAAATGTACTTTCAGCACTCTTTATTCTGTTTACTGCTCTGTTTTATTTATTCAGTCATTTTTCTAAAACACTTCAGACACATATCAATATTTCTGGGAAAGAAATATACGTTGCAATTCTTGACAATGGTGTGTTAGTTCTACTTTTCAGTGAATCCAAAGCAAACTACACTTCCAAATGGAAGTCAGGCAAACTGTCCCCTTCTAAGAGTCACTGAGACATGCAGATCAGTACCCTTAAGCATAAATTGATATGAAAATAAGAACTTCCAGTCCATGTTTTATGGTATTCTCTACTTTTTTTAATATTCTTCAGTTTATTTGCATATGGACTTCCTCTATGAATCAATCTACACATTTCTCCTCTTCGAACAACGGAAGGGAATACGAGAAAACACATTCTAGGGTAGACAAAAGGTGGTAACTGAGTGTGAAGTGAAACTGCTCACCTGTATAATTTGGAAGATACACTACACAGAGGTGTCATTCACTTTGGTGCGTGTGTATCTAACAGCACACAACAATGTTCCAGGGACCACTCTCTAAGCTAACAAGGACGTATTGATGACCTTTTCTTGATCTGCAGAGGAAGGTATTTTCATTTGAAGACTAACAATAGCTCTCACTTCGCTTCCCTGTAACATTTATGAAATATCTGGCATTCTACTCATTCAGTACTACTTCTGCTTAGCTTGCTTAGCTCTGAAGAACCTGCATACACACATAGAGGCAAAAATCTTTACTAGACAAGCTCTGCACATGACTATAGGAGAGGCGGAAGACTTGAGATCAAGGAGTTGCCACTTCACAGAAAAGAACTGCTGAATAAAAATGGTGTTTTTCTTTTAAGAAATATTTTTCTCATACACTCCCCTGCATACTCCTCTTGAACAAAGGAGATGTGTAGTTTAGCAGGAACTTATGCTGACTCAGAATTATTATAGTTGGCGGTATGGATGTCAAAGGCCTAGAACTACAACTGCAAAGTATAATAAACTGGGTCTGCCCTCTTTATGGAAAAGAGGAAAAACACCTTTATAAGAAGAGCAAGAATACACTTCCCTTCCCATTTTACCTCTTATAAGCACAAAAAGGCAGAAAGTTAGAGCTCTGACCTGCTCCCCTCACGGGTGCCTTCCCTGCATTTTTTTCAGATTTTTTGCACTTTTGGAAAATCCAGTTATGCATAAAGAAGCAGAAGCCATAATACTTGAGCTGGGGACCTGCACAATTCTCTCAGTCTGGTCTAAACATGATATCTGCTGGTTCGATCCTCGTCCTCCATACGAAAATTTGTAAGTAATCCAATATAGTAGCATCATACAGAATAAAAACTTTAGCCCTGCAAAATACCAACTCATTTCTGCCGTTCGTTGGATGAGATGACAAGTTGCAAAACCAGGGCCAATAAAGAGAAAATACACTGTTTTCAGGTTAAAGTATTTGCCATTTTTTTCTAAAACATAGTACTGGATAACAAATGCTTTCAAGTTTGAATCCTTATCCACGCTACATGAAATTGTCTCGATAAAGAAAACATTCTAGGCATAATCTTAGCTTACTCTTGGCGTTCATTTTTTCTGAGCATGTCATAATGCTAAACTGCAGACTTCTTATCACAAGAAGCCAGTTTACAGAATTGCTTGAGCTAGTGTGCCCTGTTCTGTGTTTGCCAACGCTAGAAGCATTGCTATGATTTTAACACTGGCAGCTAAATTATGCATTAGCTGTGGGTTGTTTTTCCCCCCCCTTTTACAAGCTACGCCTTATTAACTACACTTACCACAATCTCTGAGGTGGATGTTGCTTCACCTAAACCATGATGATACTTTCAGCACCACTGTTTTGTTATACTCCTGTCAAATACTCTAATATGACAACAAAGAGTTATTTCTGTAGATACTGCACACAATTTCAGAAAACAGTTAGCTAATATCTGTATTTCCCCCTTGATTTATTTTTTTTTTCTTTTCATTTCACTTCTAATACATTCCAGCAAACATCAGCTGAATCTGCTCTGCAGTGAATGGAATAATGGTCAGATATGAATACACTTCAATTCCAATGCATATTCTGGAATGTAAAACTCCATATTGAACTACAACATAATGGAAGTCTTATTAATGTAATTTCACAACACTGTGTACGGTCTGTACATGTGATAAAATTATTATTTACCAAAAAAAAAAGAATTTCATTCTGGGGAAAAAAAAGGTTTTGATTCTGAAATGTTTTTGTACTAGTGAAGAATGGAAACAAGATCTTTCTAACATGAAACACACCCTTCCATGCTTAAATATGTTAAAAAGGAAAAATAATCTATTTTTGTCAAATTATGCAGATCCTAAGTATCACCTGCCCGCAAAACAAATAACCAATTGCCTAAGCTTTTCCTCCTTCTTCGTCTAAAATTCATCTTAAACTCTTTTATTCAGACCTGTTCCTCTGCCCCTTTATTACCAGATATTCCCCACATGCATCTCTTGATAACTCCTTTTTCGAGACAATGGTAGTCTGGGATACATAAAAAACACTAATGTAGATGAGAGATATATGCTAAAACAGTGAATTAAAACCATTGATGAAGAAGGCTTACAAAGATTTCAAATCTTTTGTTGTTTGCCAGCTTATCTCTACTGTACATAAAAGTAAGTTACAAAACTAAAGATCTTTCAAAGCGACAGTCTTTAGCTAAGGGTCTTATCATATAAAAAGCGTGAAAATAAATATAGTAGAAAACTGAAAAAAATGGACCCCTTCCATGCCTCGGGGAATTGTTCAATAATGGACAACAATTAGAAGCAGAAAATAGACTAAAAATCTTTCTAAAGACTGTAATTAAATGGCAGGGAAGCTTCTTAAATTATGTGACTTTAATCACAATACTTCAGATGAGTTTAGTTACTATCCAGGCTGACCCAAAGTAAAATTAGGTCCTATGTAAACAATGATATGCTGTGCACACTACCAAGAAAGCCACAACCATTGCTAAGTTCTACATCCAGTGAGACATCCTTCAGACGGGGAGAGTCCCTGCAGAATTCCAGCCTTTGCAGCTGCTTAGAAATTATTCTGCAGACAAATCAGAAACGCTTCCTTTTTCTCTCACGCACAGAACAGCTTTTCCTTCATAAAGTTGGTGTACACCACATTCCCAGCTGCTTTAATAACCTGTTTCATGTCAAGCTCCTGTCACCCCGGCCTTCCCAGCTTCCCCCCATCCTCATTACTTTCCCTTATACAAGTCTATCAAAAATGCTAGGAATGTGCATATTAATGTACATGTTCTTCAATCCTCTTTTCACTCTCTTTCCATGTATATATGGGGGGAGGGAAATTATATAATTTGTTTATGCTTGGTGTTGTCAGATTGGGGTTTAAAAATCCTCTTTGATCTTGTGTTCAAAACAGACATGATCTATTCACTAAACCACTAGTACATTTACATACACTTTAAAATATGATTACAGGTATTACATAAATTAAGGTATTGATCGTAAAACATCCTATTACTCATTGCAAGAAAGGCTTGTTCTCCCGCCACCCCTCCCAAGCACATTATTAAGGAGAAAGGATACGAATCTGCCCTGCGGGTTCACTGCTTTGGGCTGTGATCCTATCAAGCCTCGGAACGTAATGATGCCTGGGCTAGGTCAGTACTTGGAAATCCCCCACCCAAACCAAATCCATCCATCCCACAGAACAGCGATGGTGACTCAGTAGGCAGCATGTGTCTCACTGAGTCAGTACCCGACCAACGTCTCATCAGCAGAACAGCTAACTTTTCAAGAAAAATCAGACCTATGTCTCTGTGGGGAATTGTCAAAGGAATTTACAATTTGAAGAAGCATCCCACTTTCCTCCTGACAGAAGGTCGAAATATGACATAATTTTCCAGGCAGAAACCAGCCCAATAGCCATTGAAACAGAGACACTATATCCAACTGGAAGAAAATTCATAAAATATGTATTTCTGTATTTTCATATCAATGATTAAATGAGAGGCTGAAAAGGGTAAAATGCAGAGCCCCTTTCTGTTCTGCATTTTCTACGTAGAGTGTCACCAAACAGAAATATTTCCAGAAATTAATGTTGTGGTTTATATTTTTAACATACTTCTCACAGCAATCCCCATTTTCTGGTCTGCAGAATGTGACAACATTTGTCTTTTCATAGATAACTGATGGTTCTATGTCACAGCTGTTTGCTCTGACATCTTAGCTACCGCATTCTAGCATCGTTTTATGCTGACTGATGGCAAAATATAGGAAAACTCCACAGTGCCAACATCAGAACATACATCCAAATTTCCTCAGTTATCCTCATAATAATCCTGACCATCAATCACATTTAACAGCCTCAGAAATCTGGGTTGTTCAGCCAATTGTTACTATCTTTTCAATTTAGCCCTATGACAAAGCTCAGACACCAAGCCTAGCCCACAGAAATACTTCTTTAATCTCTCCAAAAATGGCATGTGAAAGAACAAGAGGCTAGAAAGGAGAAGAGTGAAACAACACGGAGATGCAGTTGTTTACTGACAGGCAGGTCTACAACAATTTACTGCTCAAGTTCACACAAAGTCAGTGCAGACCCCTCAGCAGTCTAGTAATGGGAGAATTTTAAGATGGTTACATACATGGATCTTGCTCCCAAACTGTGTTCCTTTCATGTGGGTACTCAATATATGTGACAAAGCAGAAAGTCTTAATGTACTTGGTCCCTGAACACTCTTTGGGTCTGCAGAAGAACGCAGACTTCACAATTGCTGCTGAA